AAGCTTTATAATAAAGATATATATAAGCCTTTAATACTAATATAAGTGAATTTTATAATAATATAGAAAGATAGGATAATAAGTATTATATATAAAAGCAAAATTATAATATTAAGTCAATTTCATATAATAATAGGACCGTCTTTTAATTTCTAGATATAAAGTTTGACTAGAGGACGGCGTGGCAGTTAAAGGACGCGGAGAATAATCTTAAAACTATAGAGAAGAGGTCAGCTTTATATAAGGGCTTTATATTTTTAAAACTATTTATTAATTTTTAGGCATTTTTCTAAAAAGGCACTTTATATAAATATAAATTATTTAAATATAATAAAATAGGCATAATTCCTTTAATATATATAATATTAACATGCCATTTTAGGAATTAATATAATATTTAGATCGTATTAAGTACGTTTAGACCTTTATACTTAATAGTAACAAAAAGCTTATATATAATCTAGATCTTGAGACCGTAAAGCTATTTAAAAAAAAGGCCTCTAAAATATTATTAGCCGATAGAGACTTTATTATCTAAGTTATTGAGAGTAAAAATGCATTTTTATTATTATATAATAATATTCAAAAATTAAGATTACTATAGAACGTTATTACTATTAATAGGATAATCTTTTTAATTAAGACGCTCGTCAAGGATTTTTTATACCTAGAGGACTATATAAAAGTAATATAGATACTTATTAACTTAATAAAGTATTATATAAGAGAGGCAATTCAATATATATAATATAAATATAATAGAGATTATATAATATTAAAAAGTATTAATAGGGTCGCCTAATATAGTAATATATAAACAGATAATAAAAAGAGATTTAAGATAATATATATTTAATTATAGATGTTTATTATATATAATTTCTGTTTACTTATAAACCTCGTCCCAAAATTAGATAATAAAAAAAAGATATTTAATATTAGTTTAGATCTTTAATATTTTTTTAAATTTATTAAATTTATAAACGTTTTTAGATTTAGGTTTAATGTAATTACTAGTATTCTTAATACTAACGCAGATTAAAAGTATGTCAGGAATATACTTATAATAACTAGGCCGCTAGGCAGATATAATTATAATTTTAAATCAGAAATTATTAGTTATTATTAACTTTTAATTCGTATTCGCACTAAATAGTAAAAACTTTTTAGGCCACCGGTTTGGACTATTATATTATTAAATGTCAAGATGAAATAACGGTATAAAAGGCTATATAATTAGACGTTTAAAAAATATGCTTTTTATTTTTTTATATGTAATATTTATGAAATACCAAAAAGTAGTAAGTATGTTATAGATTTATTTATTAAGCGAAGTATTGTAATTTTTTTTTTCGCATTTTAATATTATTTTTTGAGATTGCTTATTATGGTAATAAAATGAAAGGGGTAGTTATAGATAGTCGTAATATATTATAATAGCGAAATTAAGTGAGTTAAACCCAAATGAGCACGTTAGTTAGGGATGTAGTTTAAAATGCCATACTTATATTATGCCTAGAAAAATGTGAAAAACAGGTTATAAAATAATAATAAAAAATTTGTTATTATAAAGTAAAATTATTAGAGGTTTAAGTGAATTTTAAATAATTATTTGGCGAGGTTTAGCCGGGCCGAAACAGAATTAAAAAATTAAAGGCTATTAATTTTGACTAATTATATAAAAATTCATAAATATATTTTGAGTTAGCTAAAAAGTTATATTAAAGTTAATAGAAGATAAAATTTTTTAAAAAGATAATTATAGATCATGAATCTGCTTATAAAATATAAATTATATAAATAAAATAATATTAAGATTAATGAGAGATAGCAGTTAAATTAAAGAAATATTATTTAATAATTATAGACTTTAAGTATAGAATCTCGGAGTATAAGTTTGAGAGTAATAAGCAAGTATTAGCGGTAGAAATATTATAATAGTAGTTTATTATATATTTATAATAAGTAATAATAGAATTAAAAGTATTATAGTCAAGAATTACTTAATAAGAGAGGAGTGACTTATAAAGGCCAGAAGATATTAATATTAGGGTAATGTTTTAAGGCTTTTAAGAAAGAGTTACCGAATTAGAACTTATTAGTTAATGGCAGGCCGAAAACTTAAGGAACTCTATAGAAATAGTTATTATTAAAGGCAGAACTTTAAATATAATATTTATAAAAATTAAAGAGATTAAAGTAAAAGTGAAGAAGATAAATATAACTTTTATAAAACGACTTCAGTTTGAGTAGAATTATAAAGATAGTAATTATAAGACTATTTATTTACATAAATTTTAATTTAAAGATCTTTTTATAGCAGGAGTATAGTTTAATAAGATTAAAAACCTAAAAAGGTTTATTGCCAAGTTTATTACTTTTTATAATCAGAATAACTTAATATATAATGAAAATATTTATATAAAAAATTTTAAATAATAAAAGCTGGTTTTAGGTAACTGGTTTATTATTATAAATAAAATAGGAACAGGTATTGAAATAGAGACCCCTGATCTTAAGCAAATATTAGTAATTATAAGCAGACGAGTTAAAGTTTTAGAATAAAAAGGCCAGGCTGTTTATAACTTTTAAGTAGAACTGGATATAGTAAGGGCAGCCGCCAAAAGCTAATGGCAAAAGGCAAAATATATTAAATAGCTTAAAAAAAAGTTTATAAAGGTAAAGAAGTAGTTGCAGCAAGAATAAATGGCTATTAGAGACTTTGGAGAAAACTTAAAAATAATATATAATGTTATATAAAGAGATATAGAACTTATAAATATCCTTAAAAAAGAACTAGATATAGCCAAGATAAAAAATAAAGTACTACTCTAGTAAGAGAAGGCAGCTATTACAGAGCTTATAATAGAATTAAATATAGTTAAAACAGAAACTAAAACCTTATGGAAAGAGACAGAATAAGTTTATAGACTAGAGACAGAATTAAATAATTTAAGAATAGTATTATAAATAATAAATAGTATATAAGCAGAGCTAAAAAAGATAAAATAGGACTTAGAAGACTTAAGGCAGGTATTAAGTTTATATATTAAGGATCTAAAATTAGTTAAAGCCGAAGTTAATAAGAGGCTAGAGATTTTAAAGAGTTAAGTAACCGGCCTGGAAAAGGACTTAGAGGTAGTATGGCAATTTATTAATAAGAGGGAAAAAGAGTTAGTAAGCTTAAAGCTTAAGATTAATAATAAAGATAAGTATATAAAGTTATTAAAAGTATAGTTATTTAAAACGAACCGCTTAATATAGTTAGAGAAAAAGAAAGAGAAATTTAAGGCTAAGCAGAAGGAGATTTAAGTAATGTTAGCCAGGGCAAAAGTTTCTAATAGCCAGGATCTTAGGGAACTTTTGTAATAGGAAGTGTTTATTAATATTAATTTTTTATAAGTTAAAGAGAAAATAATCAAAACGGGATTAGATATTATAAGATATATAAAATATAAAATACGCTTTGAAAGTTTTAAAACAAGGCGCTAAACAAGCGTTGACTATGTTTTTATAGAAGACTTAGAAAAGAGATTTAAGGAATTACATAATCAGGTTATATATTATTTCGTAAATAATATTATGACGGTAGTAGAGCTTAAAAAGTATAAAGACTTTTTAGCAAATTAAAAGCATTTTATTAACTATAGGGAATTCTTTTACTATGGTTATAATCCACCTTGGAAGAGACATTGCGGTCTAGATAATATAGTAGAGGATTTGAAGAGTACAGCAGGACCTAGAACTCGAGAACTAGTAAGACTTCGCACCAAGTCCAAAGTATCGTCTTTTTTATCTCCTTCTATATTTGGTTCAAGGCAGGATGGGGATAGGTCGTAGCGAAAGTGATATTGCCGTTGAAGTTGCGTTTGTGCGTGTTCGACACGTAACTTATGTTCGGTTTTTGTTTCGAAGGATCTGTTAATGGAACGGTCTTCCTTGTGCGGGGATGGCGGAAGGACTCTGCGAGATTGACAGCGCGTAATACAGATGTAAACTGGCCACTGGACCTTGGAAGATCGTTTGTAAAGGCTGTTGCGGAGCTGATCTAACGATGGACTTGATCCAAAGTTGCTGCACCACGCTGCGCTAACCAAAATAGGTTAGAGCCAAGGAAGAGTCTCGGAGCTATCGGTACCGCCAATCCTTCCTCGAAATACATACAGCAGCCTGAAATCATATCAACTGGATGCGTCAAGTACTTAGGACATAGGTAGGAGGAGAAGTTTTAGACACGCAGCCGTAACAGGTTGTAAGGAACACGTTCCCATAAAGAGTCACATAGGATGCTCTGTTGGTAGGAACATTCATTCAAGGTTAAGACATAATGGGGTTGAATCGTAATACTATATTTCTATGCTATAGTCTTAAAAATCAAGGCTCAAGCACTAATTACGTATAACGACCAGTAATTACATAAGAGATGCCTTATCATTTATGTCTATGAATTTTTTAAGTTAGAATTTACAGGTGGTTCCCAATAACATAGGATAAGACTGACTAAATGTTTGAACTAAAATTCTAGTTCTTTAAATATAGCCCGTTTCGATACAACTTTGGACTTCTTCTTGTCTTTCTTCTTCTTCGGAAGGTAAGAATCCTCTTCCTCTACTAGTAGCATGTCTATAGCCTTGGGTATCTCAATGGCTTCTAAGGGATCGGGCTCAACTGCCCTCTTGACGATATCTCTGCTCAAGGGCTTGGATTCCTCGGAGGCTGGGCTTCCACGGTCGTAAGAACTATTAGACAAAGATCTAACGTCTAACTCAGACCCCTTATCAGAAGAACCTCCATCGTCGTCGCTAGGATTAAAGTTTACAGATTTGAACCAGGTACCTCTATAAGTCGTACTATCATCCGCACCTATTCAACACATAAGTAATGCGTCAGAATGCGACAGGCTAGGTGAGTTTCTTACCAAGAACTCTGACGCCGATAAAGCTTTTGCAGGTTTCGGAGCCTTTTATAAGGATATCCAGCTATTTGGTTAGTTATTCGCGCTAGGCGCGGTTTTCCTTAGATTCGCCAGTAATGCGAGTTATAAGGTCGGCGGGCATAGAAGTGACAGTAATAGGAGAAAAGATATCGTAAAGTGGAGAGATAAGCTTAGATTTAATAACTTCGATAGCAATATTGTCGACGAAACGTTTTAGAGCAACCTGTTCAATACATAGATCGGTTAGCTATAGGATCTATAGAAGAAGGGGCGAGAAGTAAAGAAAGAAGCAGGCAACCTTATAGTAAGCCTCTATATATAATCTAAAGCTTCGGAACATGCAAAGCGGTTCATGTTAGGTTCTATACGTTATACTAGAGCTACTACAAGAGAATTAAGATCTTTGTTTTGGCCGCCGAAATATACGGAACTAAGGGAAGAGACACCAAAAAAATCCTTTATAATTCTTATATACTTATCCTTGCTTTATTTGTTCCGAACCTTTTAAAGAGCCTCGGTAAAATAGTAGTTATATGTAATTGGATAGCTTTTCTAATATAGTATTAGTAGTTCGGTGCTTTTTTCGTTCAGAGTCCTTAATAGCTAATCTAGAGCAGGCTCGAAGATCTTTTAGAAAAGTACTTTGGAGATTATAGTATTAGCGATATAGGTAGTTATGAGATTAAGGAATTCTTTAGCGGCCTTCCAGACTTTTTCAATATACTTCCGGGTAATTACTTTCTAAGGAGATAATTATTCTAGGAATAAATCTGCTACTATTATAGGATTAAAGGTTCCCGGTAACTCTCGACCCTTTGTCCTCCGTATTAGGTACTATATGTAATCTATAAATTCTTCTCTTATAGCCGTAGTTACTCCTTTAGGAACAGTAGTTTTCTTTAGAGAGTCAATAATCTTATGGCAGTAACCTTGTCTGGTAATATATTCCGTAAAGTCTAGGTTAAGGTTCTATACTATAGCCCGTATATGCTTTTAATAGCCGGGTTCAGACTTCGCATCCTCAAAGAACGGATTATTATACGTACTATCTATGGATGCTTTAATTAGAGAGTGGAATAATTAACTAATATGGAGTAAATAGAGTTATTATTCGTCCAAGGTCGCTCGAGGTTCTCCTAACTTATCTAGCCGACTATAGTATGCTTTGGATTTGATTTCGATTTCATTAATTAAGCTAGGTAGTTCAGTAGCAATCTGTCCGAGAAGAACCTTACTAAGCCTTTTCCGTAACTTGTTAATGCCCAAGAGCGAGCGAGACAGATTCTCCTATATCCCTCGAGCGAAGAATTCCTCCTCCTTAATATCGCGATCAGCCAACGACCATACTCCCGTTTCGGAGTCCATGTTTTTCAAAACATGCCATCCAAGATAAAACTCGACGTCCTGGTTCCTTATAAGAGAGATATATATAGCTTTACTTTCGGAACCAAGGATCAGAGTATCCGGCTTTATAATAATACCCAGTGTTCGATTACCACTTTTATTAGTAGTGCAGGCGAGCTTTAAGACGATCTGGTTCGCATAGTCATTCTTGGCGGAGATTACCGCGAGGATAATGCTTCTAGGTTCCTTTATATAGGCCTGAACGACGTCTTGTACTAGCTCGATATCGGAAGCAGATTACTGTTTTGTTTCGGAGTGGATGAGTCCGGGCAGGTCCATAATAGTCAAGTAAGGCCGATCGGGGCCTGAGACCTCAATACGAAGGAGGTCCTTCGAGAAAGCTTTGCCATGCGTTGAGATTGCCATAGCTGCTTTTGCGTTCTTAATTAGTATTGAAAGCCCATCGAAGCCATCTAGCTTCTCGTAAAAGCCACTGAGGGAGATTTGCTCGGATTCGCTGCGAGAGTAATGTGGGACGATTGATACGGTTACGCCAATGTGTAAAGTCTTGCGGAGGACTAATTCTATCGGAAATCGAGTGCACAGGTTGCTCTTGATCGGAAATAATACGCCGGAAATTGCTTCTAACACAGAGCTTTTCCTAGAAGACTGGTCCCCGTATACAATGATCTGTAGCAGTGAGACATAATGACTGATGCCTTACGAACGGAGACAGTCGACGGAGTCGAGTAGATCTAGTTGATCTTTAGAACACAAGCCGTTTAGGGTATCTGTATAGAATGGTTTCAAGACCATTTTGAATGTCGATGGCGAAGTTAGACTTGATTAAAGTACGTGAAGTGCGTCGAGGCGGCAGAAGGTGGAGATGAAGTAGCAAAGCAGCGAGGCACTGTGAATAATACCGCGAAAGCAGTCAAGGACAGACAAGCATATTAATAGATGAGGCATTTGATGTGAGCAGCAGATTGATTGGTAGCCTCGTTTTGAGGCATTGGGAATAACTGCCACTTAGCTCATGCTGTGTAACCGTCGTCTGCTGGTGCGACAGCTGTGGTCACTTGGCCATCTCTCTATCCGCGAAGGGCGATTGGAAGAGAGTATCCATCCTCCACACGAAAACAAACGACATGTCGCCTCCGGTAGAGGGGTGTGGTTGCACAGTGGAAGGATCTTTGCGTGCTTATTTGCCAGGGCTTGCAATTCAAGCGTCGAATTAGAAAGGTGAATCGGTTCAACACTGGACGCTCCGCACGGGATGCCAGACTTGACTGCAAGCTTTAGCTCGAGTCACTTGCGAAGTAGAGATCATGCAAGATAGCACTTCTTTGAGCTCGAGTATTCCACAAGAGGAGCGGTTCGAACTCTGCTATTGCGCTTTCCGCAGACGCAGAGCCGTAAGTTGATATTAGCTTGCGGGGTTCGTGTACTTGGATGAAGATGATAAAGGTAGGATGTAGATTTTGCGGTGAGGGCGTTCCTATCATTACTCGAGCTCCCGCTTAAATGCACGCCCCGCTTAAATGCACGGCCGAATTGCATAGAAAATCGCGAAAACTTATAGTTTTAATACCTTTATAACTTTTATATTAATTAATAAAAAAACTTACTTCTTTAAATATAATATATTAAAATAGTAAGAGTTCTATATTATAACCTTAAAAAGAATAATATCGTAAATATAAGTACTTTATTTTAAAGATTTATAAAAGACGTAATTTTTTTCTTGTAAAAATATTTTAAAAAATTAATTTATATAAGAATAAAATATCTAAAAATAGAACTTCAAATTTTTTAAGTTTTATATATTAATATATATAAATATTTATAAAAGATTTATATTTTACATATTATTAAGTAATTGAAATTTTAATTAGTTTAATTTTTTAAAAATTATAAAAAGATTATAAATAATAATAGTTTTAAACAAAAGCTATTAATTAAACTTAAATAAAATTGCTTATATTACTTATGTAAAGTTTAAAAAACTTAGAAATATTTTTATTTAATTTTTAATCTTTAAAATATTAAAATATTCTAGTTTTTTTTAATAATTTTTAAATTAAATAAATTAAATAAGTATTTATCAAAATTATTTAATAATATAAGTTTTTTATAAGGTAAGAACTATATTTAAAGGTTAATATTTGTTTTGTTTTTAATTAATATATAAGAATTTAAATAAATATAATTATTATTAAAATCCTAAATAAAAAATTAAAATTAAATATATAATAAATATTTCTTAGACTTTTGAGGGCTTAAACCCCTTTTATAATAATAGTAAGAAAATTGAATTAAAAAAAATTCTTTTAAATTGAATTATTTTTAATTATATTAAAACTTGAAAAATAAATCTTAAATTTTAAAAATTTTAAAACTTTAAAATTATATTTCATCTTTTAAAAGGCATTTAAAGGTTATATTTAAGCTAAGAAATTTAATATATATTATTTTAAAAATAATTAAATAAAGGTTTTATAGGATTTATTAATATTATAAAAGTTATTAATTCTTTTAATAAATTACTTATTTCTTAAAAAAGTACAAATATTATTAATAAAATTAATGAATTATTATAAAAGTTATATAAAGTATAAATATAGAGTACCTAGTAATTCTATAATAGCTTACTTTCTATAAACATAATTTGTAGTTATTTAATAATTAAATATTTTAGTTTTCTAGTTACGCGTGCATTTAAGCGGGCCGTGCATTTAAGCGGGAGCTCGAGTACTAACCAAATTAGGTTTAGTTAGCATGCGAATTCGAAGCGGGGTCGACAGTGGCACCTCACCCTCGCGACTGTATCACGGCAGGGAGGCCTATGATGCTCAAACAACGAATCGTGCGTTTACCAACGACTTCCCATTCGACACAATGATTCAAAATTCCTTATCACACATGCTTTTTCAGCAACCAGTCGTCGGGAGCCTCAAAACTGCCTTCAGTTGAACCGGGAGGCCTCATAGCCTGATGAGGCTTCCCAAAGCATGTCCTGCATAGATGAAGTGTTTCTAAAGGTTCCTACGCTCTACCTCCTTCAATCATAGCCTTCTCACGCTGCGACCTATAGCTCTGTCCATTTGCGTAAAATCTTTAGCCAATTATCCATAAGTCTGGCAGATCACAACACACAAGTTCCAGAATGCCGTGAGTACTCGCGAGATACTCTCTGCATTTTATGGGAACAACCACTGACTTCAAGACACAACAGACCCGGGCCCTGCTTCGACTTCAAACGCGGTTATTGCCGCCGCGGCATCCACTATCGATTCAGCCATGACACAGTAACGAGCACCGCAAGCTTATCAAATACCACAAACCCACAGCCTCGTAAGAACGAAACCGAAGCAATCTGCCGAAAATGGATATATATGATTCCCAGACCCAATATGAATTCTTTATGGTTCAAAGCTACTATAGATACAAAAAAGTTCTTCCAGATAGGCTGGAATCTCATTAAGAGTAAGGATATAGGAATACGCTAGTATATTATTACTAAACTCGGTATAGAGACGGGGCTTGCAATTATTAAGACCTTAACGGATAGTATAGATACCAGCCAAAGGAATAAAACTACTCTCTCGATATTTAGAGATAGGACTCTTTATTTCTATAAGATTATCTCTTACCCAGATATACTATCCTCGCTAATACTAGAGACTCCTGTTAATACTATCTATACCTTTCTCTTTAGTCCTAGCGGTTAATATAGGCTCTATATATTTCGTTCTATAGTAACTGCTCTAAGTAAAATGATTCTAGGACATTCTCCGAGTAATAAGAACGCCTCTACTATTGCCGTATTATTGAGTCTTGCTATTCTAGATTAGCTAATTAAGATTAACCAGAGTACTTAAGTTATTAAAGGCTTTATTACTATTATAGAGATAATCTCTGCTTATATTCCGGAGAACTTCATAATACCGAATATATAATAAAGCCTTACTCGAATTAAATATCGTCTTAATATTAGCTCTTTATTATCCTTTATACTAGCCCAATTAACTCTGCAAAACCTTCTATCTATAGCCTTCGAGTTAAGTCAAGACTTGCCTGGAAATCTCTCTAATAATAGTACTTAATATAATAATAACTATACAGGTATTATAAGGCACGTAATAGTAGGGTAATATACAAGTAGTCAAGGTAAGTAAGCTGTGGAGTGACGCTTGCAAGTATAACTGATTCCAAGAATTGATTCTAATAAGAGACTAATTAATATCCCTTCTAAAGCTAGGAGCGTCTCCCTATATATTCCCTAGTACTTAGCCAGGTATGCAAAGCCCTTTACTTAATTAGGAAATCTCATATAATCCATATAATTCCGATTATAAGCTATATTCAAAATAGGAAACTAGATCTATAATATCTGATACCTATCTATATACTATTATATATACCTATTATATTAACCTCTCTTCTGGGCCCTTATCCCCAAGAGGCCTGGGAAAACTATAAATAGCTTTATAAATATCTCCCTAAAACTTTCCTGGCTACTAGCTTTCCCTAAAGACTTCCTATAATTGCCCCATTATTATACTAGGTAATAGAGTTAAGGATATAGTTTACTAACCCTTCCTAGCTAGTTTACAAATTACCTCTGGTAATTCCCTCTTATAAAGGTAATATAAATATAGTATATACTATTAGATATAAAGCTTATTTAATTTCCTAATTAGTTTATAAATCCTAACTTAGCCTTTATTCGCAAATAAATTATTATTCTATAGGCCTAAAAGCTTGGAAAAGTTAATTCGATTTTCTAGTTTATTTATAAATTCCTTCTTTGGAATTTTCTGGATATTCCTAGTATAGAGCCGGTTCCGAATTTATAATTACTATTCGGAGAAAGAATATTATAAAAAGGCCTCTCTTTTCCTACTAACTAACCTTTCTTTTTCTTAACTATAATACTATATCTAGCTTCTTCTTATTTCTTACCTTCTTTCTTTAAGTCTTCTTTAAGCTTCTTTAAGCTCCTTTAAGCCTTATTTAAGCTTTATTTAAGTCCTTTTCTAATTCTCTCTTCTATTTCTTTATTTATTAAGATAAATACTTCTCTTAGTACTTTTTAGCCTATTACTATCTATTTAGCTAATATTCCTATATTCTTAATTTACTCTTATTATTTTTAATATTCCAAGAATATTACTAAATTTCCTAATCTTATTTATATTAAGAGTAATAATTACTCGGTATATAATTACTATTATTCTAAGAATAAGAAATATAATCCTATAAGTTATAAATTTCTTCTTTTATTTCTTATTCTAATATTATTTAAAGTTCCTTAAATATATATAGTATAATTAAACTGCCTTCTTTAAGCTATTAATATATATAAGTATTTTTCCTATTCTTTACCTAAAAGAGAAAAGGCTATTACTGCCCTTCTTTTATACTAAACTATATATACTTCTTATATTAAAGCTATTATTTGAGGCTAATAGATTTCCTTAATAATCCAAGAAATAGATTAAGTAATTCTTACTAGCTTAGTATAAGTATAAAGTACTTTTAATAGTATAATTAATATTCTTTAGTATTAAGTAAGTTTACTTTTTCCTCGTTTCTTACTAATAGCTAATAGCTTTATAGGCTAATTTACTACCTATTTCTTAAAAGAATCCTAATAAGGATAATAATAAGAATAATAGAGAATAGTTATAAGAATAGGGTATTTATAGGATATAGAAATTAGAGTTTTTAATAATTTTTATATGGTTTTTCTAAAAATAAATATATAGTTTTTTAATAGTTTCCTAATAAAAGCATTTATTTTTTATACCTTT